CTATGATTCTATGGTTCTATGATTCTATGAATATCAGCAGTACTGCTGTTGCGTTCCATATTGGAAATCTTCATCCCTTGATAGCAGCTTTTCCTACTTCTAACTGATAGTTATCTGTGCCATGAAAGAAGCAACTATTTAGCTTCTGTGTCATTTGAAAAAGCCTGAAAGACAAAAGAAATACATTAGGAAAATCTCAAGTACAGCAATAAATTATATTTTACAGAATGTATAAAAGTTTTTCATTTCCAATGTTACCAAAATTAAGTAATCTGCAACCAGGTTTTGGCTGATTTTGGAATTTTCTCTAGGGAAAAATTTACAAATTCAGCTATGACCCTGCACTCTTTGCCCTAGCAAGAATAGAAAACAAGAATAGAATAGGATTTTCTGATACTTTTGGTTCCCATCAAGCCAGAAATACTTGTGGTATTTTGGTATTTCCTGCCAAAACTAGGATGTGCAAATTTGAACAAATTAAAATTATATACAAATCCACAGAGATTATTTTAGATATAAGAAAGTAATAAGTAATTGCTTATGACAGTTGAACGGACTGATATGTCCTGTTTCTGTTTTGGTGCTTGTTCAGATTAACTATTTCTTTCGGTTTTTCTCTGTAGATTATCCTTGCTCTGGGATGCTGGGTATGGTATCTGGGCTCATTCCTGACTCTCAGATTACTGCATCTACTCAAGTTGATCGAAACTGGATCCCGGAAAATGCTCGCCTCATAACAAGCCGTTCAGGTTGGGCGCTGCCTCCAACTACTCATCCATATACAAATGAATGGCTTCAAATTGACCTTGGTGAAGAAAAAAAAGTGAGAGGCATAATTGTCCAGGGAGGCAAGCACCGAGAAAACAAAGTATTTATGAAAAAATTCAAAATTGGCTACAGCAACAACGGATCAGATTGGAAAATGATCATGGATTCCAGCAAGAAAAAGATAAAGGTAAGGAGGAAAAAGCTGCACTAAAAAAACAATTGCCTTAAAAAAAGCTTGCATTAATTTTTTACACATCTGTCTCTGACCTTAGAAAAGGCACACAGTGGGGATGAAGCCAAGCAGGACCCCTAGGGGAGCAACCCTGAAGGGATGCTGTGGGAATGGTACCATGCCTGAGGACAGGACCTGGCCTGAATATTCACCTCTGTGGCAAAGGTTTTGTTTATTCAACAGCGAGTTCAGGCTTGACTTCTGACAAGGGTGGTGTGCTTCTGTGGCCCCTAGGTTACTCCAAAATCCCATGCAATGGTGATATGCAACACTGCCAAAAAAAAGTAGAGGTCCCTCTGTAGTATTTCCATTGACACTGAATGAACATCATTAAGACACTGAATTACTTTTCCCTTGCTTCTTTTTTGTCCAAGCTGTAGAATGAGAATGGTGTTAGTAACTCAATGGGGTACCTGTTGGGTTTCTGAACTGCCTGTAGACTGCTTTGAGAACTTTGCAGGCTCTCTGTAATAGTCTGATCCAAGTCCCTCTGAGAGAAAGCAACGGAGTTTCTGACGTGTTATTCTATCCCAAGTGAAAAGTACTATTATACCTTCACAAGTGAAGCATCTTGGAGCATGCTTGGGAATAAAGGGCAGGTTCATAGGTTCAAGCAGAAACTGCAAGACAGAGAAGTGCCAAATGAATTGCTGAGTTAGGTGCCAAGGAATAGAAAATGAGTGTGGCCCAGAAAAGCTTCTGGGAATGTACCTATTTTGGTTTGTCTTTGAATGTAGGCTTTTGAGGACATAAATTGCACTGAGCGTTTAGCTTATTTACGCTAAATGCCATTCATTAAGTCTTTCATCCCATTTTGCTATTGCTGCTCACAAAGTGCATTTTTGCCTCAAAAGACACAACCATTTTTTAGTCCTCCTACTCTGTTACTTAAGGAAACCAATGGGCATTCAGTTCTGTTCACAAACTGGTGCTGCAGTACTAGAATGAATAGGGAATCATACAACAAAATGTGTCCTCGAAAGGCAAATCTGTGGGGTGCTTGGCAGATGGGAATCCTGGGAGTTGCTCCATATCTCATCTGCATTAGTCTGAAAATTAGATGTAAAAGCTGTTTGGCTACATAGACTCCTCCATTGGACAAACCTGTGTTTCCTTAAAGGAAAAGCTGAGTGGGCCCATGGATGTAGTTCTTCTAGGCACATTTGGTAAATATTGGACTTCATTCTCTCCTGTTTTAATCTCACTGAGTATGTCTGCATTTTCTCACTTCTCATCACTTTTCATCATTTGTTTTGGGGATTAAAACTAAATGAATTCAGCCTTTGCAGTCAGCTTCTTTCTCTTGTTACCATGAGTTTTGACTTCATCATAAAGTGTGAAGACAGTGTAAATCAACAATGGGATCTAACCATTTTCTTTCTAAAATAGATGTTGTTTTGACATGTACTTCTACACTGTGGCTCAATGAGGGAAAAAAATAATGCCATATGCTTTCAAAGCAGTGCGCCGTCTGCTGCATGGCTTTCTGTTTTCTAATACAAACACTTGCCATCATTGTCAGAAGTTAGCGGTTTGACAAGAAAACTAGTGTGCTAACTAATGCACTGATCCCATCCTCAGCTTTCATCACTACCAGAAATTAACTTTCAAGATTAATGGAATGGAGACGGCTGGAATTCAAATCTCTTGTGGCATAATTACAATCCTTCCCAAAAATTCAAGACATTTAATAAACTTTCTTCCAAAGCACAAGTTTTCTTTTAAGAGAATCAGATAAATCCCATGATTTGGGAGTCTGAGGGATTTAAAATGTTAATACTGAAATGTAGTATTTTTAAATGTAAGTGGAGCTGGATGGGACAGCATGCTATAATGAGTCACAGCAGGAATGTGGATTAGAAACAGTCCTGTTATATGAAATGAAACACATCGTTTCACTTCGTTAAAGTCTTGACTTTCAATAAACAAACAACTGCATTTTAGGAAAAGAAAGAGCAGTGAGAAGCTGAACATAACAACAAAATATGTTCAAAGGATGAAACATCACCTTGTATCTAAATATGATCTTATCATCCATGGCTGCAGCTCCTTTCACTAGAACTATCATAACTCCTCCCTCTTTGACTGACCCAATTTCTGCTGTTCTTGAATGTGCAGAATGTTTCCCCCTTTAGCCTAGCTCAACCACTCAAAGGAGTGAATATCACAAATCCTCAAATGACCACACAGACCCCCATTTTCATTTCAAGATCCAATTTGTATTTCTTGGCCATAGAGTTACTCAAGCTTGGTCCATAAAGTTATCTTTCTCTTTCATACTTCTTTCTTTCTTCCACATTTTTGGGGTTTTTTAAACCTCCTCTCATCATTCCTGGTACAAGAAACTTCTGAATATCCTGCCATTTGGAACAACCTTTTTAAATTTTTATGCCATGTTTATCTTCACTTTAGAAGATATTAGGATGATACTTTTTTTTCCTCTCACCAGTTTCGCTTCTCTTTTGTTTAGTTATTATTTACTATAACTTATCTTTGTAATGAAGTAAAGCAATTTGTGACATAGCCTGTATAAAAGACACTCATAAAGTGTAATTTTACTGTATACTCCTCTCTCCTCCCCCACAAAGACTATCAGTATGTGTTTTAAATGAACAGTCAAAATTGAATCACAGGCAGCTCTGCACTACAAAGGACAATGATTCAATATAATTATGATTCAATATAATTTTAGATGCCTATTGAATTCTAATGTCTATGTGTCAGTACTCCAATACTGATGTCTTTTATAACACAGTTTTCATTATTATATGTTGCTATTAAGACTACTATTAAAAAGGAAGCAAAGATTCCTCAGATACATGTGTCTGTCTAATTTTACACATAAAGTGGCATTCATTCTTTCTCATATGGAAGGTAGTTTTTCTGATCATTTGCACTATATTGCTATTCAAATATAATAATATGTAATTGCATGTTAATTGGATCTGACAGGCCATCTACATATGAATCCTTGAGAACCATCTTCCAAGCACTAGCAGAACACTAGGTCAACCAGTGCCCCTTGAATCACCTCAGAGGTACAATCTCCCCAAGGAAATAGGAGCAGAAGCATTAATGATGAAATTCTCTTTTTTAATTTAGTTGATCATAGTCTCCCATCATCATTGTTTTTTGTGACTGTTACTCTGTACAACAGCCAGAAGGGGCTGTGGACCATTGGTTCCTAATACAGAGGTGTACAGTAAAAACAAGCAAGGCTTTTAGGACTGCACTGAAAATACAAGCAGCAATCAGTGTATCCTATGCTGGTTTTGTGCTTTGGGAAGTGCAGGCAGCTTTTCCCGTGGCCTCTGTTTTATCTGCTCCCAAATCAATAGAAGGAGTTCATTGCAGATTGGGTTTTGTTCTGATCCAAAATTAAGGACATCTGGTGATTTCTTCCTGAAGAAGGCTTTAGGCTTTACAGCTATGAGTAGGAAGTATCTTATAAATAGCGCCTCTAATGGCAAATTTGAACTTAAGTTCAAATAACATTTTTTCCAGTGTTTTGACATTTAACTAATTCATTGAAAAGCTGAAAATACTTTTACCTCACTGTTATATACATTTTCATATTTTGTATTTTAGAGTATTCAGTATATGATATTCCTAGGTCATTTTTTACCATAAAATAGGGTAAAAATAACTCTTTTTGTCTATCTCAGGTCATAAACTCTTCATGGCAAGGGCTGCTTCTTTGTACAGTTAATTCATTCTAAAAAGCAATCATCTTCATGGAGGCATCCAAGGTGTTGCTACACATACAATTCATAACTTGTTCTATATGCAAAAAATCACTGACAAGAGAAGCTGAAAGTATCAAACAAATGCCATTGAAAGCTGCATTATGGCTGAAGAACCCAGAGCGCAACTCAGGAGATTTTTGTCTGAAATGTACATTTGCTGACCTGCCTTGCCCATTAGATTATATTGCAGTTTTGTCAGGAACCAGCTTTCTTCTTTCTTTCTTTCTTTCTTTTTATTCTTATTCAATAGCAAGCTCACTGGAAGAACTCTCGCAGCTACTGTTCCTGGAGTTTAATTTATGCCTTTTGAAATAACTACAACTTGTGAAACTCTGTCACTGGGGGAAATCAGATTGAAATTTTCTCTTGAATAGTTGGATTATTATTGTAACCACTTAAAAGGTGACAGGATCTTCACCTCAGCCTTCTTTTTTTCCTGAGAAGTGCTGAAAATGTCACCCAGTTAAACCCCAGATCAGAGTGTCATTTAAAAACATGTCTCATTAAGCACTCAGCTCTTGTTATGACCCTGATGGATTGGCTGCTACTGAGTGTATGAAAAATGAAATGCATTACTTTTCTGAGAAGCTTTAACTATGTATTTTCCATTCTCATTTAGGACGGCAATGCCTGACACTTATGAAACAGTTAGATTCGAGCCTACTGCTCACCTAATTCAAAGACTAGAGAATGAAGGAAAAAAGGTGATTGTTGAAAGTAGCTTTTTTTTTAACAATTAGCATTTGTCATGCTTTGCAGACTTTTGAAGGCAATACCAACTATGACACACCTGAACTGCGGACTTTTGAACCTATAGTGACGAGATTCATCCGCGTCTACCCTGAGAGAGCCACACACGGAGGGCTGGGGCTGCGAATGGAGCTGCTGGGCTGTGAACTCGAAGGTAATTGCTCTGCTAGAGATGAATGCACTTTATTATTTTCATAAATACATTCTCCACTTGGACTACAGCTGAACAGTGCTATGTCTGTACAGGCAGCATGTCAGACTCTTGCTTCCATGACTGTCCGTACAGGCAGCATGTCAGACTCTTGCTTCCATGACTGCCATTAGTGCTGTTTCTTGGCCTAATCAGTTCCTTCTCCACAGACATTTAAATATGCCCAAGGCACAAATATTATTCTTTCTCCCATTCCTTTGTTGAATCACAGTGATATTCTCCACATGGTTTTCTGTTCCCTTAAGCAGCCTTATGATTATACTTTCAAGAAGCATAAAGCTATCAGATGAGAATAAAGACAGGAACTTAAATTTTAAGTTATCATGATACAAACCTGGAAGAGATGTTTTCTGAGAAAGTAGAGAGCGCTTTGCACTAAATGTAGCAATTATGTCCCTTGTTCCCTCAAACAACATGACAGTCACACCAGACACTACGGTAGGCAACGATTACTTGGCTGGACAGTACCTATGCTGCTCCTTGTGGGGGGTAAAGGGAGCCTCTTCGTTCCTTACCAAGCTTTAATTTTGCAAGAGTATGTAGGAGACAAAAGACCAGGAAAAGCAAAGTTTAGATATTTATCCTAGGAATGTGACATGAAGTCAAGCTTTGATTCTTGTTATATAAACAATAATTGCTTAACTTTATAAGATAACTACAGATAACACTACGTGAATTTTGCAGTTTTATCTGGTGGATGACAGTATAGTGGTTTATAAACCACACAGCTTAAAAATACACAGAATAACAAACCATGTTATTCAGGGTTTCATATGATACCTTGTACAGAAGCAGCTGAACAGGCTCCCAAGATGAATGGAACTGACTGCTCTGCCTCCATTTCTTTCTCACCATTTCTTCCTCAGGGCGGAAGAGTGGGAGGCATTTGCTGTGAGAACTGATGAGTTCTGTGTTGTTGGTTGTTTTTTTTAGTGAAGGCCAGGTTGAATAAGTGTACTTTTTACTTGGCCCGGAAAGTGGGGAGGTTGGAAATACTTCTTAGTTCCTGCAGGAAATCCTTATTTCCTGTGGGAATACTTAGTTCCTGCAGACTATTGTGCTACTTGCTCAGAAAAAAGAAAATCCAGCACCTGCCTCATGTAAACTCACAACCTGTGGGTGAAGTCCTTTAGCCACAAGACTCCTGTAGTCACCTAGACATCAAGAAGTTAGTGCGTGGACCACCTTACAAGAACACATTGTTCAGTAAGATGGAGGAGCCAAAGAGGAGACTAACCAAGAAAACGCCTTTGCTTTTAGGCAGACTTTAGCAACAGGTATAATTTTTCCCTGCGACACATCTACTTGCAGATGTTTTCCCTCTATCGTGTACTTTTGAAGGGTGACCCACCTGTAGGTGTGGTCAATTCCCATTTACCTATGGGAGAACCTTAATAAGAACACTTTGTTGTATAACTGTATCTTAAGGTGGGAGCTGAATGAAGAGAAGTCACTCGAGATTTACTGAGCAGGAAAGGAACTGAAATGAGAAAAAAGGCTTGGAGGTAGGCACAAACAGGAGTAGAAATCAGGTCTCCAGCAGTAATGAGCAAAGGGAAGTTTCGTGTGCTTGAAGCATCCCAGGGGGACTTATATGAAATGATGGCAGAAATGTAGGCAAGCTTGAGGCTATACAGGGGCATGAAGATCAAGATAAGAAACTTAACTTGATGTAGAAAGCTAGAGGGAGCTCCCAGAGGGGTTTTTAAAGCGATGTGGGGAAGAGACGTTCTGCATAATTCATAATAGGTACAGAGCTGTTTCTTTAACTGGGGCTAGATTGTACCTGTAAAGCATAGGTCAGGGTCCTCAAGAGCCGTGTTTTAACCCAGAGTATAGCTACTGCAGAAACTACATTTTCTACTACTACTACTCCTGGCAGTTTCAGGCCAAGAACTGAGTGCATAAGAGCTTATGTGGCCAGTGGGCTCTGGGTGCAGTAGAAGGGCAAACAAGAACCTGAGAAAGGGGTGCATTATTACATAGCCTGTAATGAGAGTAAAACATTATTAAAGAAAATAACAGTGGATGAGAACAGACAAAAGCCTGGATCACACTCCCAGAGTGATTATCTTAAGCCAGGGAGCTATACTTGCAGCATAAAACATAAACCTAAACATAACACCAAGAATCTGTATTCTAATTTTCCAGGTGTGGTATATTTTGCAGATACTGGGCAATAGACATATTTTCTGGCACCTTGCACAAATCTCAAACTTTTAACTGTAATAACAAAGATCAGACTTTTACAGGTTAGGCAGCAGCTACCGGAAAGTAATCACCAATGAGAAGCAGGCAGGTGGCCAGGAGGGATGACTGACATCACTGATGTCTTATTTATAACTTCAACAAAAACAAAAGAAACTCCTTCCAGATCTCCTTATTGAGCACAAAATGATTCTACATCACACTGCCTTCCTGCTTCTGTTACCAGGACTCTGCTCAGACGTTTCCTCTCTTACATGTGCTCTGCAGAGAGGTTTCTTCAGCAATATGGCGGATGCTGGAGAATTACCACCTTGAGCATGCTCCTCTCCTGCTCTTTGTACAGGTCAACTCACAGGCACTTTGGCCTGCAATAAAATGATGTTTCTACCCCACCTCCCCACCAAGACTTCCATTCTGCTTTGTCAGGCTTTCACTCTTCATTGGTAGGGACAACAAACATAAGCCAGTGGACAGACAGTCTGGGTCTCTGCTGCCCAACTCTGCCCAGCCCTTGAGCTCAGATACAGTCAAGTACCTTGGCACAAGGAGGCAGAACAGGTACATCCCATTGCAAAAAAATACTAACTAACCTGCAAAGTAGAGTTGTTTCATCCCTCAGATACAACACATGAAGACAGCATATGGTGCTCATCAAAATGTTACTGCCAGTTGCATGCTGATTCTCCAGCACATGTTTTAACTGAATGACTGGATTTTGTTTCAGCTCCTACTGCTGTTCCTACCATTTCTGAAGGCAAACCCGTGGATGAGTGTGATGATGACCAAGCGAACTGTCACAGTGGCACAGGTGATGACTACCAACTGACAGGTGCAGAAACCATCCTCATTCCATTGCTGCTTCTGTTGTAGCTCATATCCATCACCAGTTACCAGCTAAGCATTTGCACTGATTTAATCACTCAACATAAATGGACATTGGTATGCAGTTCGTATTGTCAGTGCTGTCAAAACATAGGCATCTGCCTTTTACATATGACAATACTTTTGATTGTTTTCTCAGCTATGTAATTTTTGAAGCAAATAATAGTGACTAGCTGGAAGAGTGGGCAATTTTTTTGAGGAGGAATTGTGTCTAATCAAATGTCCTAATCAAACTTTCTCTTATTACAGAAAAAGCTGGGCAAACCTTTTGAGGTTTATTGTCTGAGACTGAAGAACTCAAAATGAATTATTGTTTAAGTTCAAGATACATATATGCCTGATACCTAAAATTTAGTATAGCCCAAAACCTTTCCTAGACAGAAAAAAAAGCAAATCAAAGCGTATTCACCCATATACCAACAGAAATATTTCCATGAGCTTTCCCACCAACACTGCATTACAGCCACAGAGGGACTGATGTTCTTCCAAGCTGCCATCACTAGCAGAAAAACAGGAGGAAGAGACATAAGATAGTTTGCATCTGGAACAGAGGAAGCTTGCTAGTTTTCATATTCTCCCACTTTTTGCACAGAACCACTCTCCTTCTGAGAAAGCTTACACTGCACCACTGCATTTTTTATCTCCTCTTGGAGGTCACTTGCTCCACAAAGCCCTGGGCCTGTTTGATGAGATCTTCCTGTAGCAGATCTATACATCTACAGTAATTGAGCTTATTTTCGGACACAGTGACACAAGTTATTTCATCACTGCTCCCTAGTGTGCTTATCTAATAAATGTTTATTGCTTCTTACATCCATGATATAAAATGGCATTAAAATCTGGCAATAGCTGTCCAGGAGGACACTGGGAGACATTAGGTAAGAGATTGGCTTTTTGGAAGCAGCCAAGTAGAACATCCGACAGCAGATACAAATAAAAGTGCAGTTTCAGCACCAAACCCTTTCTGAGCTTTGCCAATGTGTCCTGTAAATGCATGTTTCCTAATCATAAACTGAAAAACAGTTCTTGAGTAGAAAAGACATTGCACAATCACCGTTACTGCTTTTCAAATCAGTGTTCCAGATGAATCTTGTTCTTTTTGAAAATGAGCATTCAAGGAGTTTGATGAAATAGTCTGTATTGTGTTAAGGGAGCTCAGAAAGCTTTCAGTGTTACTAAATAGTGTAATTTACTTATTTCTCTGAAAGTAGAAAGCCAGGTCAGGATGCTCTGGTGCTTCCTGCAAAGCCCTACACTGAGGGCTGGCTTGCAAAGCCCTACACTGAGGGCTGGCTTGCAAAGCCCAGTAGGTAGGGACATACTTCACATGGATGGAGACTGTGAGAGGAAGGAGATAGATCTATGCAAGCACCTTCCCTGATCACTCACAATCTCTGCACTTCAGGGAGCTCAGGACTGCATCCCACATGTCCCATAGGGAAAGCTTATTCAGCAGAAGAAATTCCCTCTGGCAGTTTTTGTAGGTTGTGCTTAGGGAGCAGTTTATAATCTTTAAGACAAGGAAGCAGCCACCAGCCTTCCTGAGCACCAGCTCTTCTGGGGAACTGAATCTCTTCCAGTACTAAAATTGAAAATTACTACACTGGCCTTCTACAGAAGTACAGACAATTTAGTATCACTTATTACTATACCATCTAGAAATCCTGAGCAGTGCATGCCTAGTTGTTCTGGACACTACAGAAACACTGCGTTCTATGTATAGTGTTACGTACAACACTAAAATGCACAGAAGTTATTTTACCCATAATTTCATTGTAAACATTATGTTCTTCCTCTAAAATATATAGAAGGAAAGTATCTAAATCTCGTGTCCCATTAAGGGTAGCAGAGCAGTGCAGAGGGGATGTCATCAGTGCCTTACCCTCTTTTATCCACTCCTGATGTGAGTGTGGCACCGCATTCTCATGGGTACAACAAAGTGATAGCACTCGCACATATGTGTGTACCACAATGAAGCCTCCCTTGCAATTAACTGTAATTGTGCTGTAGGCCAGATTCCTTCCTGCTCTGTTTCTCTATTTGGACCCCATACAGAGCTACTCTATTTGTGTGGCTTATAGCATTTCCCATCAGATCATTCTCACAAACATAAAGCTGATATAGCTTGGGCATTCATTCTCATTGGAAGTCATCATAGTCATCCTTTCCATAGTGCTTTAAGCACTTGCTTGCTGAAGAAAAGAAAAGCCATTGACTGGTAATCAGCACCCCACTGTGCATTTATAATTGTGCTAATTTACTTTTTGTTTCCTTTATCAATATGAGGCTTGCTTTAAAAAGTCAAGTATTTTAAAAATATCAATTAGTGAGCTTAGGAGAGGGCCATGACCCCACTCACCTCTTGTTCCTCTCCTTGAAGAAGACGACAAAGGGGAAGTCCTTAATTCCTCCTGCCCTTTGAGACAGATGTGAAACCTGCCTTAGAATATGGCCTAAAGTCGGGCAGCTCCCATGCATCCCTCTTGTGAACTGGCCTCACAACGCAGCTACGAAACAACACACAGGGAGGACCCAGCATGGCAGAGGCTGGAGGACCTCATGTCCCTGACATGAGAAACAACATGCCACGGCTGAATGCACAAAGTGGTGACTGTTAGCAGATGCTACAGAGAATGGTCACTGACTTCCCATGGGATTTAGAGAAAAATCACTGTATATAAAATGAGAATGGCCACAGGGACTTGCTAAGGATTGATTAGTTGGTGTTTGCAAGGACTCCAAAGATACACAGCTTTATTTAATACTGAGTTCTTGTTTTCTTTGTTGATAAAGGAAACCAGACCTCTAATGTAATATTTTCATGCTTAAGCTCACATACTCAGTTACCTGCATGTCTAGTAAAGATGGAAATACTTCAGATTTATATATAGGATATGACCTATCAAGGTTCAGTTCCCCAAATGACTGCTGTGTCCTTTGTTGTGTCCCATGTATCATGATATGCATAATTTCTTTTCCAGGTGGTACTACAGTGCTGAACACAGAAAAGCCAACAGTAATAGACAATACATTACAACCAGGTAAAAAAAAAGATTTTTCTTATTGAAAACATAATAAATTCCATACCCAAATTTCATGCCAGAGACAAAATAATGAATTGCAGTACTTCCTGACTTCCCATTCCCTAAAAGTCTCTGAAGTAAAGAGGCATCTGGTCTCTCAGCTCTGTACAGTAAATATTTTATTCCTTTCTTCCACATGTAGACACAGCAGAGAACAAGATTTCCTTCTGCATCAGCAAATGCCAAATGCTGACAAAATTAAACTAACTTAATCACACAGTACACTCTGTTTAAATGTGGCATGTCAGTGACACAAAGTGTGTTTGCAAACTCTGGGAAAACAAAAACAGAGCCACACAGGCCCACTCACTATTTATATCCATGGTTTTACAAAACCAAGACAAGTAAATTTTGCCAGTTTTCTCCACCAGGGAGCTGGCAGTTTTACAATATTGTTTTCTAGCAAGTTTTCTCAAAATGGGGTTACATAAATTGCTACCATGAACTTGAAAAGGAAAACACAAGTTGTCACTGGCAGCAGGTCCTTTATACTTAATCAATGCAGTAACTAGCACCTTTTAAAATCCTTAGTTTGCTGCTTCCACAGCTTTCATACAATTTTTTTAATATCCTGTACAATTTACTGGCAGTAGGGGAGAGGATAGATCTGGGCAGAAAACCCAAACCCCAAAAGCTATGAGCACTAGTTTAAAATGGTTTGCATTAATTGTGGAGTGGTAAAGAGGTCAGTTTTCAGTTACTCCCATTTCCTCCATTAAAGTACAGTCAGGCACAGTCTTGCAAGTGATTTATTAACAGGGTGGGTAAGTGTTTATCATTGTTTCCTCAACCATGTGCCACAATCCTCTTTTGCTTCAAGCCAGAAAAAGGGACTAATAATGCAAAAGTCTCCTAAGAACACTGATGGTGTGGACCTGATTAAGAGCTAGAGATAACTTACCTCAGACATTGTTTCCACTCTCAGCCTCTGCGTTCTGATATTGCAAAGGCAAATGCTTTTACTCCCCTCAAAATTTGTCTCCAGGGTCATTGAGTTGGCTTAGTCAGCATACACTATTTCTAGCTCTGCCTTGCTTTATTAGCAGAGGGAGATTGTGGAGGACCAGTGCAATGAGAAACACGACAGCAGGCTGGCCTGCCTTCACAGGACACCTCTCTACGCTGCTCTTTCCCACTGTTGCTGAAGGGTTGGAGGGCTGCTGGTGATCCTACAGTTGAGAAAGGGGTGGGGGATGCAAAGGAAGTGGTTTTAGGGTAAAATATTTTAATTCTTATGTCTGAAATGTTCTTTTAGCCTTCCATTTTGCTGAAATGAAGGCTTTTTAAATCTTTAACTATCTTCTTGCATTTAAATGAATTGCAAATTCATAAAGTGCCTCTGTGCAACACAGTTTTCCTCCCTTCTTCCCAGCACCAGTTGCATTTGCAGGTTGTGCTTAATCCCTTTGGCTTGGGTGGGACTCTCCAGTAATAGACTGACTGTTTCTGCCAGAGATTAAGATATCTTCATTTTCTCTCCTTACTTCCCTCCTGCACCACATTCGCTTACTCTGTAATAAGCCAAGTGTTTTCTCTGCTAAAGGAGTTTCTGAGGTTGCCTTCAGAGCATGCCAATGCTACTTCCCTGCATTGTGCTGGTAGGAACCATTTCCTTTCAGGGAATAAAGGAGAAGTTCACATCCCCAACTCAAGGCTCCCACATGGCAGCACATTACAAAGATCACAGATAGAGATCAGCCAGATGCTAATAAATAAGAATAAGGTTTCCAGAATCTCCAGTTTAGGACATAAAAGTTTCCAGCTGCTTCATAATCCCTCACTGAAAACCAGCCAGAAAACTCCCAGAAAGGGGCAGACAGAAATTTCCCCTCAACATGGGGAGGTCCCTTGTGGCATGAAGGTGGGTATGCATTTCCTTCTGCTGAAGGGCATGGCTGGACGTAGCTGACACAATGAAGCACATAGAGCAAGAGGCCACACAGCAGGGAGCAGGAGTCTGCTATGACAGCCGCAAATACCATAGTCTAAACTGGCCTTGAAGTTACAGAGCTGCTCCAGGGGCCCCCTGGTCCTCAGCTGGCTGAAGATCAGGAGATCAGTGCACTCCAAGTCTTTCAGCTATTCCCAAGCTGAACAAGGTATGAATTTAACACACCAAGGACTGAGCCTTCAGCTTCAGCCTTAATTCCCTCTAAGGGCTGGTTTACCTTAAGAAGCTAATGCACCTTGAGGTAAATGGTGAACTCCAAGCCAAAGAACTATTCCAGCTCAGTTGGATGCAGGCTCCAGCAGGTGAACCTGACGAGCTACACCATGCCAGTGCTGGCCACAGCAGCTGTGCCACAGTGATTCAGGACAGGGATTTACCAGCCCTCTCAGTAGCAGCACCTGCTGTGGCACAGGTACTTCTGCAATAGGTGCTAACGCCATGTATTGGTGTCCTCCTGCCTGCATTCAAGCCTGCAAACACCTCTAATCTTGTTATCCCAGACTAACATGCTTGTGTGTGTCAAAGCCTGAGATTATCGTATTCCAACCAGCTTTCACACACTATGGAAACAGTTAAGAGCAAATAGCTGGAAAGCCTCCATGTATAAACAAGCTTTCCATCAAGAAGACTTTTACAGTTCATTTCAAGGGGACTGAATTGTAAAAAATAAAAAAGAATGTTGATTTCAAACTGCTAAAAATGTTTCAAGGTTTGGATTTTTTTAAGGTTCTACTTTTCTCCTCAGACTTAAAAAGATACCTTTAACAAATCTGTCTGTGAAGGCAAATACCTTTCAGGCCTCAGTCCTAAGACTCACCAACATCTGGTCTTTTTGAACACACCTTTATCAGTGCCAAAGGACTATTTTAAACGCTTGACTCTTAGCTATTTACATACAGAGCAAGCTGTTCATTTACATTATGTGCTCTCAGCGTGCAAGCTCAAGGCTTTGTAAAGCAGAGTAGTCAAGAAATATCTTGTTTTTGACACATGTAATAGCTACTTCAGAAAACCATAACTAAGAAATCCTGAGGTTAAAATCTATGCTAAAAAATCATTTAAAGGTAGAATAGGTCTGATTCTCATTTACGGTGGGACAACTTTGCATCAACAGAGGGATATTAAAGTAGTTAAATTATCATTTACTATCATTTAAGGTAATTCTGTGCTGCCAACTTAAGTGGTATAAAAAGGTGGAATGTAAATAATAATCAGACCCAATATACTACTTTGAAGTGGTCCAAATTATGTTTGTAATTTCCCATTTTAATGTTGACTTACCTTTTGGCAAGAGCATCCTATCGAGAATTTTCATAGCATCTTTAAGTCTGCGAGCCACAAAAGATTAATGGCCTTGCAAGAAAATCACTCAACTAGATTTTAAAATTACTTTCTTGTTTGTGTGCAGTAATGGTTCCAGCTGTGAGCAAGATGTGGTCAAGAAGTACAGCTGTTGGTTATTCTTTGAGAGGATAAATCTGTTTTAATTCAGTATCACGTACCCTACATTTTGAAAAAGGCATATGGGATTTCGTCACACCTCCCTCTCAGATTCTCATCTGAACTGCCGCTATTTGGTTACATAATAGCTGGTTTTCTTCATCATCTCAATACACACAAACCCAGAGATCAATCACCTTTTGGCAGGAGAATTATCCTAGCAGGGGAATGGACCAGTGCTGCAAAGGGAGCCCACCAAATGCTCCTCATCCCTGCTTTTCTTTCTTCCACCAGAGCTGCCAAGCTATAGTTCAAGGACAAAGAAGTGGTCAGATTGCCTGTAGCTTACTGTCAGCTACTGTATCAGCCCCTGGGACCTTTAATAGAAGCGTTGATCTGTCCTGCCTTTTGCTGGGGCAGATCCATTGTCCATATGACTAGCAAGCCTATCCTGATGCTACAAGTGCCTGTTATTAATTGGCTAGCAGATCTATTTTTTCTTTTTATGGGTCCCCAGGAGAAGCATTGGAAGAGGCATAAGAATAGACAATAAGAGATGGCATGTTTAAGGAGCCCATAAAATAAAAGCACTCTGAAACACCTTGCCTTTGACCTTCAATGCCATTGCTGTGATTTTCTAAGGAATATATTAACACAAACACTTCTAAGAAAACAACAGAAACCTAACAAGAAATAGCTAACTGAGAGCAGGTTACTGGTCAAATACTGCTCAACTTCAGAGAATTCTCATTAACTTCTGCATGGAAAAGAAGTTCATTTCTATGCTACACCATGCTGTCCATTAGACCAAGGCCAAGGAACACAGGCATGGCCAAAGCAAATCAGACTTTGGCTCTTTGCCAATTTCCTGGACTATATATTTCAAATGAAAGTGTAAGAAATTCTTTATTAGATGGTGCTGTGAAATTTAGCTCTGCTTTGAAACTCTCCTTCTAATCCTAATGTTCAGAGCTGGCTTCAGACCATGAAGCAAAAGGCTTTTGTCAGTCCCTGCACTTTAGGATTAACAATTAAATTCTGGATATTTTCCTTATCCATTTCAGTGTCCAGTTCTCTTTGAATTGCATTCCGCCTTAGCAGCATTGAAGGGAAGCAAGAATCACTCATATCATATGAGAATTTTTTTCTCCTTTGATCTGCATTGAACTTCACTGGATATCTCTTAGTTCTCAGGCTATGAAATGGAGAAAGCAAACTATTGTAATCTTCCTTCTCTGGATTCTTCACCCATTTTCATACTTCTCCTGTGTCTTCTGCTATTTATTTTTATTCAGAGTTGAACAATACCAGTCCTTTCAATTTCTTTGTGCTATGTGCTCATTTCTGCTCTGTGATATCTTCAGATTGATGTGATCTATCTACCACTGTTCTCCTTTCTTTTGGTTTGAATACCACGCAGGCTATCACAAGCTTTGCATGAAATAATCCTTCGGGATTAATAAGATTAATTTTGTTTTACGTTTTCTAAGACTTTTTCTAAGTTCTGTTTCATGGCTCTGATGTCAAAGCCATGTAATATAGCTCTTCCTAGGCCTACTTGACAATGAAAGGCTATTTTTCAAACTTAAAGCCCGTTAATTCATTTCAATGTCACTCTTTTTCTTTAAAAACTCCCCTTGATTTTCAGATGTCCCCTTTTGGGCAAGATGTCTTTGATCATGGCCCCATTGTCTAGGAAAAAAAACCACATATATTGAAGAAAGAAATATAATGGATTGCCTTTCTGCACCCACAAGCACACAGGCTGAGTTCTGCTTCTTCAACATTTTGAGCCCAAAGAGAGATTGTTCACCATGATCTGCTTCTTTCCAAGAAAGGGCTGGCATCCTCCAGGAAACATATTTTCTCCACATTAAATTCCTGTGCCAGACATTATCTGTTTATTTGTTCCCAGCTAGGATGCTGTATTCGTGACAATGAGGAGGAGACCCCTCTGGAGGCCAGTGGGAGGAAGGGGAGAGGCAGGCGGGATGGAGCAGATGAAAGGCAGGAGCGAAGAATGGGGCTCAGTGCAGAGAGATGCTGCGGCACAGCCAGGGTACTGACAGACTCAGGAGAGGGGCAGGAGCTGCCATACACCCAGACGTCTCTGCTGACAGACAGAAGTTTTCCAGGGGCCAGAGGGGAGAGGACACAGCAGGCAAGGAGGGAATGATATATGAACCCTTTTTATATCCATTTTATCTCAGCCTACTCACCTGAGGCTTTCACTGTGTTGATAAAATGATTAGTCTAGTTTACTTTACATTAAAATCTGGGTTGTGAGTTCAAAAGCCTTTCCAGTCTTCCATGGCAGCTCATTACATGAAGGAGGTCTTCGCCTCTTCAGATTGGAAGAGCTCCACCTCAAAGGTCTGATCAGCCACAGGTCCCAACACACTTCCTGTATTTCTCCATATTTTCCCACAATAAACAAAACACATTCTAGGGTATGTTCCGCGTTATCTTTCCTGGCTTGTTTTTTTCATTGTTTTTGTTTGTTTGTTTTTTAATAATGGGCAAGAAAGCAAAAAACCACAATTCTTCCCCCAGAGCTGATACTGATGGGAGCACAGAGTTCTTTGTTCTTAGTTCATACTTGCACAAAGCATCTCATTAGAGTAAACCTAAATTATTCCTTTAATAAGGTGTGAGTCATGCCTGAGAAAAGACTTCAGAATTTGGTCACATTGCTGTGGGAAGGGTATTGCTCTACTGGGAGTTGTCCTTGCTCAAGGTGGGGTAAAAGTTCATACCAATGTGGTAGGAACCAAAAGCCCAAAAGATTTCAAACTGCTTCTGAGAATAAGAAATGCAAGGAATTTGTATGCTATCTTTGCATAATCTATCCATTCAAATTCCAACTTCTATTGAAGAAAATAAGCTACTATGTATTAAACCTTTGGGCAGAATTGAAGAGAAGCTGAAAACGAGATATTATCTCATCATGATCATAATACCAGACTTCCCTTGTTTTACATGGAGCTTGTTTTGAAGCTTATTTTGAGTTCATTTGGCAATCAGCCACATTTGTCCCTTTTCCATCTCAATTTGTCCATTTCAATGCTGCCATCTTGTGGACCTGCTTAACTGTCTGGAAGATGCTGAAAAAAGTTCCTTACTGAAGCCACTTACTGTACATTTCACCAGAGATCCTTTCCTGCCAAGAACATTCCTTAGTGTTTCTGCCCTTTCTTATTTTTGTCCAAATCTTATTGTGAGTTATTGCAAAATTTTGCACAGTTATGGTACAAATAGATATTATCAACCAGCAAATATATCTGATAAATAAGGCAGATTTTTCTTTTTGAGTCATATATGTTACAGTACACTTACCAGCTAATGTGGGCAAATCAGAAGAATTAATCTAACCACAAAAAAAATCCCAAAATATGGGTCTTAATCAGACAAGACACAACCACATGATTTACTAGAAATAGTCATTCTTCATCTGTTTCCCAGCAGGGCTGCTCTCACTGTAGCTTCTCAGAGTTTCAAGTAGGAATGGCTCTGATAATTGTCAAATTCATGCATTTAGTTTTGAAGTACAAAATCTGAATTATGCAATTAATAATCACATTTAGTCCCTCCTTTTCTCTCTTATCTTGCAGAGCTGCCACTATACAACTTCAACTGTGCCTTTGGTTGGGGATCCCAAAAGACTTTGTGCCACTGGGAGCATGACAACCAGGTGGATTTAAAGTGGGCGATCTTGACCAGCAAAACTGGACCGATTCAAGACCACACAGGTAGTCATGAGTTCATGATTTAGCCATTTTACCTGGTTGTTCTATTTAATACCAACATGCCTTACAGAAGGAGAGGAGAATAAATTATACCTAAATTATGCAAAGTCTCAAAGATTATTCTCTAGGCAACCTAACTTGTTTATATGTAGTCACAATTGGTCATAATTGTCCTTTCTCTTGGGGAATAAAGATCATTTATTGTCAGGAATTGAAGATATTCCCTCCGCCTAACTTGCCTTTGGGTAACAACAATCTAAAGTAGAAAAAACATCTGAATGATACTCTGCAAATACCACTTACTAGGTGATACAGTCATAAACCAACCTCACATTGTTCCTGTTTGTAGCTACTGAGACTACCCACCACAGAAAAGTGTTGTAAGTGAAACTTCCCAGGTGGATGTATTTCCATGCCCTCCTTCTCTCCAGCAGGAGTTGAAGATTATAGCCATCCCTTTGCTCACACACAGTTTTTCCAGAAATATCACCCTGGGAAATGGATTGGTTGGTTTTGTAGTCTCTAAATCCTGGCTCTGCATAATCAGGCAATAAATATGCTACTGGCTATTGGCGAAGGGAGAGCACTGCGTGACCTGCACAGCCTCTTGCTTTAGTGCTCTCTCTTGCATACGTGCAGATTAATCAAATGTGTTGAGATGAATCCCCCTTCGCACTTCTGCTACCCCTTTGCCTAATGAGAATGACAAGGAAATTAGACAAAATTGGACTTTTTACATTCTGAGACACTTTCAATTGAATCTTAAGACAAGTACGGTAGTTTCAGGGAAAAAAAAACTTATAATACTTTGACTATAAATGGCATTGTACAAATAAATGACATCAAATTAACTAAATGCAGTTAGCTGAAGTGAAGGCTGTAATGGTGGAAAAATTGATGTAAAGTGAAATGGCTCAGTAGGATCTGACGCTGAAAGGAGGTTAAAAGCTATGTTAGCCAGAGACTGACAAAATCTAAAAGACATGCATAAGTAAAGCTCTAATTAAGACAATGAAGACAGAGTTCCTGACCCAGCACTGCAATAATATTCTGGAAATGAGAGCTATCTGCACTTTGCCACCAAGGATTATAGAGAGACTGAACCTGTCTTCAATCAAGCGATGAAGAAATTCTATTTTTCAAATGAGATTTTGTTTTTTCCACTGGGCCCTGCTAGTGCAGAAGTCTTATTTGTTCCATCAGCTGCATATTCAGTAAATCTTAAAGGCAGACCCTTTTCCTCCCTACTGAACTAACTTTCAATACTTTCCAAAATTTTTCTTCAAGTCAAAGGGCACCTTCACCTGCCAGGTTTGCTCTTCACCTGCTAGCAGCTACAGAATGAGTGGGGTGGGTGTGAATGCAGACCACAACCAAACTGAATGGCATAGCCATCCCAGACAAGTCCCTCAGTGTCACCACTGCACAGCAAGGCCACCTACAATGAGCAATTCCCAGGCAGATCTTGCTCTCGGTTGCACTTGTATAAAGCTGAAGAAACTCCAGAGAAGTGATCTGCAACAGCAATTGCTTTAAGACAGCAGGATATGCTGTATGTCACTTCAAATTATACATGTTATGATTAAATCTGGCCAGAGTTAGGTCTTCCAACTGAGACAGTCATCCTAATACTGTGATTAGTTTTCTTTTTTCCTCCGTTTGGATTTCCCTATCACCATTCTTTGATGAGATTTGCACATGTTGTGCTGCCCTCGGCACAAAAAACAAAGTTGGAAAGAACATATAGGCACAAGCGCTACTGGTGAAGATGGACAAGATGTTACTGCAGTAAGATAGAGAAAAAAAGGAAAGAAAAAAAGCCTAACTTTTTTTTTGCAATTTAATATCATCTTCCCTTATAAAATTCTTTCACAGATCAGATACTTCCACATGCATATTGATCAGCATACATCTGAATGCCCACAGAAAAATCTAAATAAAAGAAAAAAATCCTTGTTTCCTGTTATAGGAAATATTTCCCTTTCTCTTTTATTAGGCCCCCTCTTTCCATCTAGCCTCTGTGTTTAACCCATTTATCTTTGTTCCTGGTTTATCTTTTACTGCCCTGTCCTTCTTATACTTCCCAGAGTGGCAACGCTCAACTTCCATTCTTCATTGGTACAGGACTACACCATTACAATCCAGCAAGTCTGAATTATACATTATTTCAAGTGAAATTCAAGAATATCATGTATAAGCAAAGATCAGTGCTGATGAACCATCATCCTTCCAAAATATCTTATTTTGCCTCTTTTTACTATTCCTTTGTTTAAGCATTGGCATAAACAGAGATATATGAACTTATTTCAGTATTTGAGAAATAGTATTTCTTATTATTAATTTTTCTCCTTCTTACTTTCAAAATAACTTTATACCAATGCCAGTAAATCCTGTCTCCATCCTTTTGTGTGATTGCATTACACAGGCAATCTGTTCTTACACACACCAGGGTGAATTTCATATTTTTCCACCATAATTCTCTGGAAAAAAAAGCTGTTCAAAAGCTGACTGGAATGGATGCCTGGCTGGTGTAAATCAGAAGCATTTCTCTGTAGTCAGTGTCTTACTTAGCAATTTTCTGTTACCAAACTAATCACACTCCCACGTGCTTCTCTCCCAGTGTGATTAAGCAAGTAATTTTCCAAGTTAAGGGTATTAGGTATTCAGATTTCAATGTGTATAAATCTGTTATGCTCTTCAGAAAATACCAGCCATAATCTTACTGTTTCAGGAAGAGGCTCACAAATATATAGAGCCCAATATACTATGGACAAAATCAAGGGACTAAACCTGGCACTGTTTGTGACAAGGCTCAGACTTTATTTAGGAGCACTATTTAGATCTCAGTTCCTGACCTCTGACCATGGCTGTGCTACGCTAGTTTATCCTTCAGTGTTTTTCCCATTCTAATCTTACCTTCTCCAGCACAGGTTACTTTAAACAGAGATTTAAAATAGCTATTTGCACAATTACTGTAGAGCAGGCCCTGTAAGATTTCTGCCTGGCCTGATGAACTAGGGCTGGCTCTCTTTAGGAGGTGTACATGCACTAATGGAGCATATGCCATCACACCAAACATGCTTTTACCTTCTTCCCTGGGCAAAATAAAATGCCTTCTGTGTGCCATGTAGTGAATTAACATCTTGTTATGGTACACTCTCAGCACAAAGCATCCCAAAGAACAGCAGAGGAGTCTGTCAGAAAAAGTAAAGTCTCCTTAGAGCACATCAGCTTTCCTAGAGCTCCCAAACCATCTGACTCTCTTTGTTGTGAGGACTGACACATCAGCATGGAAAGAAAGGAAATGACTGGGGGAGGTGGGGGCTTCTTAAGTAAAAAAGAACATGAAAGCTGGTGGCTATCCCTAATGCAGTCCTTCTGTCACAGTAGGAGATGGCAATTTCATTTACTCTCAAGCTGACGAAAGTCAGAAAGGGAAAGTCGCCCGACTGCTGAGCCCCGTCATTTACTCGCAGAACTCTGCCCACTGCATGACTTTCTGGTACCACATGTCCGGCGCACACGTCGGTACCCTGAAGATCAAACTGCGGTACCAAAAGCCGGACGAATACGATCAGGTGCTGTGGACCCTGAGCGGGCACCAGGCAAACTTCTGGAAGGAAGGACGTGTTCTTCTTCACAAGTCTGTGAAACACTACCAGGTGAGCTTGACCAGTCCCCACAGAACTAACAGAGTCGAGGCCAGTAAGACTTCGCTGGTCATGTTTCGTACCCTGCAGCAGAAAATGTCACTGAAGGATTTATGTAGACAGTATTATACCTACAGATGAGGTGCTGTTGCTGTGACAGTAATAATAGTGCCATATTTTATGGTATCTCAGATGAGAGTGATACAAGCAATTTGTTATCAAAGGCCTAAGAAATAATTTAGAAATCATTTCTCATGTCACAGAACTGCATCCTTGCCACACTTTTGCTGCTGGTGCAAAAGTCTTTAATGAAGTTAAGACATTCTATAAATTCACATTTGTATATATAAGTTCATAAAGGCATGCACTGGAGATTGACAGGCCTCAATCAAAGTACGTGTAGATGTGGCATCATGACAAGTGAAGATGTGTGTTAACAACTAATTAAGACATCCTGAATCTGCAATTGTGTGTTAACAGGAAAACAATGTGCACATTATCTTATTTTGCCAGGTGGTTATTGAAGGAGAAATCGGAAAAGGAACTGGAGGAATTGCTGTGGATGATATTAAAATTGACAATCACGTAGCACAAGAGGATTGCCGAAGTAAGTATGAATAGCAAGATTATATAGAAATGTAATTCAAAACATTATTTATTTTCTTTTGATAGCTGTTTTTTTTCCTATGAGAAAGGCATAGATAGCTATGGACTCTATAGGAAGTTTTGCATGAAAAATACCCTAATCTGGCCCATAGCTTTATTCATAGTCAATACCATTGGTATACCATTGGTATCACCTCAGTACAGCAGCAACTGCAGTCTCTTTTGGGCCAGAACCGGGATCCAACTGACGTGGGTTACAGCATGTTGACATCCACACATATGTCCCTATATTTAATATTCATAGAATCATAGAATGATAGAATGGTTTAGGTTGGAAGGGACCTTAAAGATCATCCAGTCCAAACCCCCTGCCATGGGCAGGGTCACCTCCCACCAGACCTGGTTGCTCAAAGCCCTGTCCTGTCCTCTTTAAATTTCTCTGTTTTTCCTAATGCTATTCCCTGTTTTAACTAATGCTCAAAATCTAGTCTATTTCCTTACCCTTTTTAGATCACTTACCACCAAGCCTAGTTTAATTCTACCCTAGGTTTTAAAGGACTGTATCAAACCCATACAGGATACACAGAGAGGGTGAAATGGCCCCTGCTCTACCCCCGCTGTTCCGTAATTGCTGTCACTTGTTTGCTGTAGTCACCAGCTCCCAGACACGGGTGACATGAAGTACTGTTAGAACATGTTCTTTTCTATATCTGAGCCGGGCTATTCCTGAGGTGCTATTTGAACCCTTTTATTTCTGGCCATTCTTGAGTTATCCCAGTCCCTGCTGATCACATGTGCACTGCATACTGCACGTAATTTGGCAGCAGCACCACCAGATAAACACAAGCAACTGAACACTGTCCTTCATGATGAAGATGAAGCCATAACTTTTATGCAGGAGAAGGAATAGAACTGAGAACCCTCAGCATTAGAGATATAAACTGATGCCACACAAGTTCCAACACAACTGAGAGCAGTAATAGAGAGTGCTCCTCACCTTTTGTAGCTAATTGCCTTTTGAGGGTAACATGACAGACTACAGCTACATGGTAATTTCACTGCAGGATGAGAAAACTGTGCTGTCTGTCACACAGTCCGTCTCCTGGAGTTCATTGTATGCCACCAGAGTGGCAGTTACCAGGAAGAAGAGGTAGGATGCCCTGCTCCTACAGTGTCCTGCAGTGTCCTCAGTGCCAAGAAGGGTGCTGGGACCACAGTGATGGTATTTGCCTGACTCCAAATGAGAGAGAAAAGTAACTTCTTTCCTGCCTCCATGTGTTTTGGTTGTTTGAATCAAATGCTGAGCTAAGATTTTGGCCTGTGGGAGCTAAAGCCAAAAGCTTAGTCTGAAGCCCAAACACAAGTGGTCTCACTGCAGTTAGTGACACTATTTTTGTGATTAACTATGCCTACGCTGATGAAGTGTTATGGAATTGGGGTCCAAAATTGTAAATACAATGAATGAGATGCTAATTCATCACACTGATTTCTCTTTCCCAGACGTGGAAAACCCCTGCTGATAACTAAAACTGTGCCAAGACTGGGCGGAGAGGAGTCTTTAAATCTTTCTTTTTTTTCTCCATTAATTTTCAGAGACCATCATAATGAACAGTTCTGTCAAGCTGACATAATGATGCTCTGACACAGGAAAATCTGCTATACCATTATCGCCAGCTTGATAGTCAATCAGTGTTTGTAATCCTAATAATCAATGTCAATTCTCTTTGCTTCATTAGAATCAACTGATGTGGAGAATGAAATAGATGAAGAAGAAGACCCAGAAAGTAATCAAACAGGTAAAAATCATGTTATTGTTAAAAGGGAATGAATTTTAAAGTGTATTTTCATGTGAATTTGTGTATTATAATTATTTATTTATAGATTAGATCTCTAACTGCGTATTGTATTATGGTTTTTTGATTTATATAGAGCAGATGCCAAGAATGGTTACATTTATTTGAAAATTTAATAGTTTTGTTCTTCTGTGTCATATAATTTTATGGACTTTGTATTATTTATACTTGTCTCAAACCTTTCAAACTTTATACACATAAATTGTTACATTGAATATATCTATATATGCATGCACACTATAACTCCTTAATAATTTGTTATCTAGAAAGTTTGTCCACAGCTGAAGAAACAGCTATCATTATATCTTACAATTTATGACTCACGCAGTCTCTAGGAAATTAGGCTTAAAACTCTTCAGGGTAATTGTTTCTCAGACCTGGCTGAAAATGTCATTTTGTGACCAGTGTACCAAAGCATTATCATTTTCAATGATGATAGCTGTAAGTGGATCATTAAATGGACCATAATTGTCATATTGTCCCAATAATAAAATATACTTACATTTTTCAGGCAATGAGCTTTATTTTTTTCTGTTACAGTCAACAGGATTGCTATCATTGATTTCAGTGAAAGCGTGGTTTGTCAAAAAACACTTTTTGGCTTTTCCTGCAACAGTTAGCAGGGTTTGCAAGCCTATTGGATCTCTTTCATAAACTGAAAGGGCTGAGGGTAAACATTATGGTACCTAGTGAATATTTTACAGAAGGGGCACAGTACTCTTCGGTGTCAGTTCTGTCCCTGTTTCCATTTCAAGGTCCAATCCTGAAGTCAGGGAAGTGGAGATGGACACAAAATGACTGGAGATTCCCAACCAATGTCTAAGTCTATAAACATTCTCACTCAGCTGAAGAAGATTTAATTAACATTTTTGAGTTAAATATTGCAGGCTGGCAAAATATAATCAAAAGGTCTGGTTATTCATTCCCAAGACTCCCACTCAATCCAAGGTAGAATCAGACCTCTACTGACATGCAGCAGATTCAGGGATTGGAGAACAGTAAGAAAATAATCAACAACTATTTGTGTCTCATTATAGTTTTCAGCTATTTATGACTGCCTCCTAGAAGCTAGGTGTTCAAATTATGCAATAGTGTATGTGAAAAGCTTGATGTCCTCTCTCCAAATTCCCAACTCGTCAAACAAAGTTCTAACTAGAATCAGTTCTGAAAATTTTGCAATTCTTTACTCCATTTCAGGGTTTACGCCTCCATACCGTACAGGAGAGGACTACGACGATAACATCTCCAGGAAACCAGGCAACGTCCTGAAGACCCTAGATCCAATCCTTATCACCATCATAGCCATGAGCGCACTTGGGGTGCTTTTAGGAGCCATCTGTGGAGTTGTCCTGTACTGTGCCTGTTGGCACAATGGGATGTCAGAGAGGAACTTGTCTGCACTGGAGAATTACAATTTTGAACTGGTTGATGGTGTAAAACTGAAAAAAGATAAACTAAACACACAGAATTCATACTCGGAAGCATGAAGGTATAAAGCAACTGGAGAAGTTTCAGCGAGTCGGGATGGAAGGACATAGCTCGGTCGTGCTGGGGAACTGTTGATCTTCTTTTACTGTACAGGCTGAAAAGTGCATTGATGACACTGAGCCAAGCTTTTCTCAGGAGCTTCAATGAGTGTGTAACCGATAAACATGGACAACAATCTGTGTTAACAATCTGAATCATGTACAGTCTGCTTTTTCTGTTGGTTTTATTTGAAATAATCAAATGCTGGTGTTGAGACCAAGTATGATTGACTTATAGTTCATTTTGTCTTTCTTTCTCTCCCTCTCTTTTGTTTTCCGTTAATGGATAATTTTGGTTTTACTGTGCAAAATCCAAGATGCTGTCACAAAATGTATTCAGTGGGGTCCTTTGGATGGACATGCTGTCTGTAGCTCAGTGCCCAGAAAATATTGGAGTAACAGCAATTTAGTGGACTCCTGCACCTGTATTTGTGTATAATTGCTCGTGTTGTGCATAGGCAAAGAAGGGTTAGGATGTTTTTGAAAGTACTGCTGCATCAGTACCAATATAGTGTGTCAGCTCTGTTTACGAAGCAATACAGTCAAATTTTATTGATGTTTTTCAGTGTTGTACTAAATTTTGTGCTTGTGAACTCCATAAAAGTGTGCCATCATCAGACACAACTGGTAACCGAGTGTACTGCCTAAAAATGAAACAAAAAAGTCCTTGGCACTGGCTAGTGTATGTCCTCTCAAGTGCCTTTTTGTTTGTACTGCTTCTCATTGCATTAACATTAACCACAGCTCTGCTTCTCCGCAGTTATGCCCTTGTCTTTAATCATATTCTGATGGCTCACTAACTAAAAGAAAAGTATATTTTAGTGTAAGAAAGTAGCCTCAGGAAGGCAAGGGCTATCAGATTTGACAACCTGGCTCGATTGTTCTGCTTTCTGTATTTCAACTTCATATATCTTGACCCTTTTGTACAAAGCTGCAATATCCCCTTTTATTGTTCTTTCATATAGAATGTATTTTCAAATGTAAAATCTCTCTCCCTTTCTCTTCTCCTCTCTCTCTTTCTCCCTCTGAATAGATTGCATAAGCATTTGCCATTGCCAAGGAAAGAAAACTGCAGCTTTAACTTGCTGGTAATGGCAAAGGATTTTATTAGAGTTTGTGTTAAAAAATAAGGGAAAATTCTTAACTTTACCCTCCAAAGTCGAACTTTGGATTTCTTCTTAACAGCATAAAGTGACAGTATCTTTTTTCCTGAAGTCATGAAACACATCTTTTATCCTGAACAGCTTGCCTGTTAATTACACTTGGGAAAATTATTCCCTTGCTGAAAAGATTGCCTTTAAAATGAGAAACTTTCCTCCTCCTGCCCCTACCTGAACTCAGAGTTCTGTTCTCTCAGTAAACGTGTATTTTCATGCTAATCAATGCTAATTTGGCTTATGCATGGGTACTGAGGGCAGAATAAAATCCCACAGTGTATGTAAGGTATGTTCTTACCATCCTGTTATATCAAACAGGCACTTCATAGCAGGAGGTTTCTGTTTGACCAGAAGTGCAGACTGCAGATCTAAGTTGTCAAAAAAATGTGTTCGACAGTTATGTGGCAATTTTTTAATATTTCAGGACAAATATTATTGGACTAATAATATACAACAACCTATGCACCTGGTCCAACAGGGTAAAAAGAAACAAGAGTGTTTCCTGCAGGGGTCCACAGGAAGAGGCGAGGGGCTGGAGGGGTCACTCCCCTCTGCAGGCATGAGAGAACACCCCAGGTTTTCTGCGGTGACCCTGCACACAGCACAGCCATAACTGGGGAGGCAGTGGAAGAAGGCAGCGGAAGAAGGCAGCTTTAACCTTCCCCTGGGTATCCACTAACCAGCAGGTAAAACCAGGACAAACACAGGGAAAGGAGTGTCCTGCAAAGTGCTGAAATAGTACTTTTCCTCACTGAATTCCCCAGGTAGAGTCAGGGAAGTGATTGTGACTTTCTGAGATAGTCTTTTCAATAATTGCTTTTGTAGTAGAGCAATGAAGTCTCGTCTCCAGGATTAGGACTAAAGAAGGGTTAAATTCAGCCTTGAATTACTAGAGCAACAGCATCCACCCTTATTTCTCAATTAAACACTTTAAAACATATCATTTCACCGACATGAACCATAAACCAGAAAAAACTACAGAAAATTTACCAGTAACCTAGAAATTTAATAAAAGGGAAGGAGACGAAAGGTAAAAATATGAGTTTTGACATTTAAAATATTTTAAAGGAAGACTCAATAGAGAAAACAGTGGACAGTTGCTACTTCAAAGGAGTCTTAAATGCAAAGACTACAGTGAAAATTCAAACACCCACTTCAAGTCATCAAACCTTACATGCCTAAGTTGGAAGAGTTACCTCCCCAGGATCTAGACCTTGGGTCCTCCGGAAGGTGAGACAGATTATCTGAGGCCTGAAAGTTTGGCCTAAAAGTTAGTCCACGAAATGTCCCAAGTGGCAAACTCACTTGGGGAGAGGCAGAATTTTCATTTGTATCTAACAGTGTAATTTGACCATAATGGTATGGCAGCAGCTAGTTAATTAACCCAAAGAAAAAATGGACTTTTCAAAACTCTTTTCAGCACACCACCACCGTGTGATTCAGGTATTGGGGTCTGTTCTCCTCAGCTGAAGAAACTTCTAGTCCACTAGCTCGGCTGAGAGTTACATGCATATATTGCCTTGAAGAGAAAATCACACTGGGGAGCCCAAGCCTAAGACCTTTTGAAATATTCCCATGGATTTCAATAGATTTTGGACCAGCTGTTGGTCTTGATCTATTTGAACTGCAAAGCTGGTGGTTGGTGGTTTTTTTGATTCTTTTAACATACTGAGAAAGCAGACATGAAATGAAACATATCTCCTTTGTGGTCTTCAGACTTTACTATGTTAATGAGGATCTAGCACTGAAGATTTCATTTCTCTGAAGGTAACAGAATGAAAGTTGCCCTTCAATAAAGGAAAAATGATACTGCAACTTTACATTGAAAAGTATCTTGCACTGATAAATATATTTAAAAAAATTATATGTTTATAAAGTTATTAATTTGTAAAGGCAGTGTTACAAAATGTTCAGTTTATATTGTTTTAGATTGTTTCATAATTTTTAAAGTGTAAAAATAACATATTTTTTTCTTTATTGAAAAACTATAAAAATCTTCTGTAGTAAAATGATTTCATTTTACTGGTATATTATTGCTTCATGTTTTGTACCATCATAAAACTTTGTGCAAATTTTTTTTACAGAAATTTTTATTTTCTATGACAATATGACACTTGTAAATTGTTGTTTCAAAATGAACAGCGAAGCCTTAACTTTAAATGACATTTGTATTCTCAGACACTGAGTAGCATTAAAAAAAATCACATAGAACTGAACTGTAACTTAAATTTCCAAACTATGACTACTACATTCCAAAGAAACAGTTGAATTAAACATTTTCGTAAAATATCCCATACCTGACGTATTTTATTATACTGAAATGGATTTGTTTTATTAAATGTCTGGGTTTATTTAGCATCTTGAAACAAGCACAATGTTTTAACCATGGTTACATTTGTTCATAGGTAACTCCAACAGATACCTTGGTGGAAACGTTCATGGTTTAAGATGGAGGGATTCACCCTCTGCCTGCCCAATTCTCTCTCTCTCTGTTGGAAGACACTGCCACTACATGCCTAACTTTTAGCCAGACAGCAGAGATTTAAGAGGACAAATCTGCCACCACTGCTCTGAGGTTGTGATTCACCTCGCTGCTGTGGGAAGCCCATGCCGCCACCCTAAGTCCATCATATGTGCTCCCTGTGGCTTGCTCTTAGAGCAGGGAGCAATGTCCATTTTTTGACAAGTTGCTCCACTAAGTCTCTGCTCCAGCAGTAAGGTTTGTATAGATGAGCTCCCTGTAAAATTCCACTGAAGTCATCAGGACTTACCCAACATTGCCAAATCTTCCAATACAGAGCATAAGTTACTCACGGGAGAAAATGCTGCAAGGTTCGCCCATTGGGCCTAGTTCAGCACTCAGTTGGTTGCTGACCTCATCTGTGGAACATACAATCATAGGTAGGGAGAACTTTAAGGAGTCTGCATCCAGACCAGAAGCTTTAGATTGCACATTTCCTGTTTTATGCAATACTCACCTATTTATTCCTTTTTAATGATGAGCACTCTGCACATTAAAGTTTGTCAAATCCTTTCTTTATGTTGCACATACTATAATGTCTTTAGGTTGAATACTCATGGACAAACATTTTACTTCAGCTACTTCACTACTTCCAGGGAAAATATTGTACTTATTTTACTTTGTACTTATTGTACCACATATTTGATGATTGTTACACTTGAAGACAATTTATCAAATCTTGTCTCCTCGAGAGAGTGGTGCTGTGGGTACTTGTTTAAAATATGAGATGGAACTACAGCGAGGCACCTGAGCAAAACTTTGCTTTGTGGTCAGAGTAGAAATTGCTCTCAAAAGACAGTTGTGAAGGTTGCTGTCCATATAATCATTCAATCTAAATTATTTATAAATTTATTTCATTGCACTCTGCTTCTGTGATAACCAGCCACAGGGCTCTTTGAAGGAAAATAAATGACAATGGAATTCATTAGTTTAAAAAAGTAATCTATAAATTGAATCCACAGAGGAAGAAGTTCTGAAAAGAGAGACAAGTATTTTAAGTTAAGAAAATTCTCTTTCTTTCATTTAGGGGAAATTATTTAGCCTAGAAGCTAACAGCTACTTAGCACTAAACCTTCAGTTTTTCATACTAAATACACTGCATAAAGGAAAGACAAAAATGGTGCAATGGGATCTGAATTACATTTCAGAACATAACTTGTAAATTTGAAAGGAAAGGAAGAGCAGATGGAAATAGCAGGAGTCAGCTACAGACAAACAGTGCGAGGAGTGCTTAACTCTGAATCTCAAATGTTAGGGTCGTGGTCTGTAAAAAGGGTCTTTTGACAAGCAAACCCTATTATTATTTCACCAATCAAACGTACCAACCCTGAGCCAGCAGCCATGTAGCCACAGTGCTGACCCCAAAAAGCAGAAGTACAGGAGAGGCAGGGGCAGCACAGCTGATGTGCAGTTGGGTACAGCCCACTGGCATCACGGGAATGACCGTAGTGCCTACCTGTATCAATCTGCCCACTGGACCAATGCTGCCAGTCTCAGTGGAGATGAAGGCTCCTGAGTTCTCATAAACTACCTTTTATGAGGCACATGAGGACTCGAGAGGTGCATACTAGTGTAGTTCTAACTTTGATCCTTGTACATCTTTTATTATATACAATTAGTCCATTTCTAAGTCGACTCTCCTAACTCACTTTCTGAAAGTCAAATGTCAAAGTTGATTTTGATTTTCAGATCTTGGCATCTAGATGTTAGATCCCAGAAGTAATTTCCTTCCTGTTCCTTAATTGTCCTGTCCTTTGCAATGTATTATGCCTAACAGCATATTGGTTCAAGCAACATTAATTTATTATAGCTTTAATTTCTTCTTTAATACCATTTTATGCCTCAAGTCACCCATAACAACAATTTTATCTACAAGTGTTTGTTAAATTATAACCAAGTGTATCTAGGTTTTTTTGCCATGAGATACTTTGTATAGCTGTTTTATTTGCCGATTAGTCCCCTTGTAGACCCTAATTGCTTTTCTACAGTACGCCAGCTCTCCATATACACTTCTATTTTCATAGCTACACACAATCAAACTCTAATCTTGTCACCTCAGGACTGATGGTGCTTCAATGTTTATAACTGAAAATCTCATTAAAAAATCTTCTGGCATTTTTCACAGATGGATGGAGTCTTATCATGTGTCCAAACCTAATTCCACCTTCAATAATCATATTCTTCTATTTAAATTTACATTGCTTTTATTCATCTCTCAGACATTTGATTCGTGTCCCTGTCATTGTACAGCATCACTGTGCACCATGCTCCATGCTTTATTACAGGCCATTGTGTTTCCCTAATGGGTGAGGCAGGTCCGATTGAAAAAGGAATTGCTGTTTTACTGAAGCATCGTTGGTACCAAACAGAGGTCAGGCAGTGTTCTCAAGGGGAGAAGGTAGTGAGGAGGTTTGGCAGGTGTTGCCATGACAAAGACTGAGGGATTTAATGATGAGAAGTTGGAGGATGAAGGGCTTGCCTGAGGAAACAAGCATTTCAGGCGACATGATCTGCAAAGGGAATTTTCAGAAAACTCCCATCTTCAGTTCTTTCATCTTTCCCTCACAAAAAAAAACCCCTTCACAATTCTCAAAAAATGTCTGCATCACAGAAATGTCTCTGGCAGCTGTCATGCACTTTTACATCCTCAGGCATGGAAGAAGGGAGTGGGGGTACCAACCCATCTGTTACCTGAAC